TTTTATGAGATTATTATTTTTAAAAAAAAAATAAACAAATAAATAACCAACAAGTGACAGAAGCACAGTGCTATGGATTAAATTTGATCTTCCCTTGTCACAATTTTCATCTAATTTTCCTTTAAGAAGCTTCCTAGCATCCTCCAATAGTCCTTTCTTGCAAAGTGCGTGTACTAAAAAGTTACAGGAAACTCTATTTGGCATAACACAAGAATTCGCCATTGTAGAAAACATCGAGTGCTCTGTCCACATTATTAATTAGGCAATAACCCTTCAATAAAGTGTTATAGGTAGCACAGCTGGGACTGGGACCACAATATAACATCTCACCAAATTATGTCATGAGTTTGTTAAAAAATATCACACATACATGCCATATTTATATATTTAATTTAAATTAGAAAATTTTAGTTTAAAACATTTCCAATTGTCTTTCCAAATAGTTGATCATTATGTTCAACTAATAAACGACAAAAAATTTCCCTTATAAATAAATAAATCATTAGATTTGATATTTGGATGATTGGATTACCCAAACTCAATTCAACGATTAAGGACCCAACTAAAATTTCAAACAGTTTGGGATAAAGATGAAATGGCACCTTTGAACGAATTACCAACATGCCGATTGGTTTCTCCGTTTCCAACGACGGATTCAAAGGCATTAACACATCACTGTTTGGGATCGCCTTGAAGATTGAGGAGGGCAGACAACCTATCTTCCATGGCTTCCATTCTTCCCCTCTTACAAAACACCGAATACCCATCACTCTCAGCCTCCACAACCTCCCTCCTCTCCACTCCCACCACCGGCGTCGCCACACAACCACCACCAAAACCCATTCCCGAATTTGGAATTATCCAACCTCGCTGGCCTCTTCCTCTTCAACAGCGCCAGCGAAGAAGAAGATGAAGACGAAGTTGAAACCGTACAATCATTAGAAGCCCTATTAAGCCTGCTCGGAGGCTTCTGTAGCCGAAGCCCTAGATGGAGAGAACATAGGTGAGTTCGAGATTGCAACGGTAAAAGACTTTTCTCTCTCTGTGGCGGCTCTACAACGTTCGAATTATTCGATTTCGGCTTTGTTTTGTGTTGTGTGGTGTGGTGTGGTGTTTCAGTGGAGAAATAAATAGAGAGAAGAGAGGTATGTGTAACCGATTAAAATTTATCAAGGAAGAACCCCACCCTTCTTATTATTCAATTTATTTCATTATGGGTTATATCACTTTTTTGACCACCCACACTACAGATTTTGGCTAAAAAGCCATCATCCCAAGATATTGGAAACCTTCAATGTCCCAAACACACACACATATGTATGTAAAAAATTCTCGATCATAAGCAACAATCAAGACCATAAAAAAGATTCAGTTTTTTCAAATAATAACAAACATTTCTCAGATTGTTCTTTTCAAATTCCAGTTATGAAAAGATCAGTCATAACAGTTGTAGAAACTTCTAAAACATAATTTCTTATATTTCTTTGTATAAACAAAACTCTGATAACAAGAATCTACTGCATATATTTATCGATATACAAGGTTGAATCTAACCCTTTATTGAATCTAGAATGATCAATAAATAACAAGACCGATTCTGTTTCAAAAAAGTAAGAAAATTTTATCAAACATACACAGAGTGTACAAAAATAAAACCAATAATTATGTTTCAGGACTCTGTCTTAAGATTGTTAGAAAAATAGTACCAAACTAAATGGAAAATATAATTTAAAATTATGCTAACGCTTTTTGGGCAAAACCAAAAACTGAAATAAATCAACATAATAACGTGATAAAACTTACAGTACATAGACTTCTAAGTGACTCTTCAAAAAGGTTGTGATCCTTTAAAAGGACACACCCTTTCACACTCATATAGGTGATCCTTATTTCGAGTCTCTTAAATACTCCTCTTGAAAGATACCCCTCTAGGATT